CATAGCGGTCAAACCACGGAATGTCCTCCCCACAGATATTGTGACTTCAGCATCGCTATTATATTTAAAAGAAACCTCGACAGATATATGTTCGTAAATGTATCGGAGTCATGAGGAATTTAAATTCACCCTTGAAACTCTCACCCCAAATGTCGTATTTTATAGTCCCGTTTGAATTCTTGCAACCCACAGGATTTCTTTGTAACCTACACAATTTTACGTTGCAAATAGGATATTTCAAGGCTAATGTCTCTTTGTGCAATAAACTGAACTGAAATATCTTTTTATCCGCCAGCTGCACTGTATCAAACTTTATTCCGATATCCTCCCTAGCCCTTGCCTAACTCGACCTTCATTATCCAAAAACAGCATTCGAGCCATGTGGTTGCGAAAAGTCTATGGCCATGAGATATATACTACACAGTCAAAGTGCTTCAGCTATTGTTTCGCCCCATGCAACTAGATGTCTGTCAGCAAGCGCACCTTTCGGGTTCCAATGGAGGATTTCATAAGTTTTATTTGATCTGGTACCCTAACAGACTTTAACAGAAGGTATAAAAATATGCAGAATTGTTAATTTGCGAATAAATCTTATGTTTTCGTAGGAACACCACATAATTTGTTTTAACCCCCTCCACTGAAATCCGGAAAGTCAAAAGCAGGTCGCTCAAGGTAAAACAGGTGAGAATGTGTTTTGGGTCGTTGTCTTGTATGACACTTAGCTATTTGCTTGTCTTCTTTTGTAATTCCTTTCTTAATTTTTCTTATATTTCGTCGTAACCCAACTTAATCTCCTGATTTGCTAACGTACGATGTGACAAAATTACAATTTGTTCCTGGGATTTGCTACTAGGGCCCTAGTAGCAAATTCAGCCGGATACAATAATGCGTTGACATTTTTGATTTACTTAATGAAAGCTCGCGCAGGTGCATCACATATTACAGCCAGTGCGACCAAGCTTAGGAAGTTGGAAAGAAGGAGATTCTAGGCCTGCTGGTGGTCTTCTGACCTCAATATGCCTAACGGACTGCCTATGGGTTTATGATAATTAACCCATATGGGTTAATGGAGAGGACCAGTGTGTTCCGTTAGCGATCTTTGAACTTAAATCAATGAGTGTAAATATCCCTTGATCTTAACTGGAAAGATAATTAATCCGTGCGCAGTGGGTTAGGGCGTATGACTTCTGGTCAGGAAGTCGTGTATTCGATCTTCCGATGGTGCATCATCCGAAGTCGGGTATGACTGACTGCTGACGGTTACTGAGCTGGGAACGGGCATTCCAGTCCCCATTCTTTTTGCCGGTAATGCTCATCTGGTAGACGATTCTCTGGTTTCGAGATCACGGCAGGGAAGTCTTTCAGCTAACTTGCAGCTGAAAGTGAGCTTCTTTATCGCATTGTTGAGCAGCCA